CACTGTAAATTTAAATGAAGCGGCGATTATTTAAATCGCCGCTTCATTTTACTACGTCCGGTACCCTAATCTACATGCCTCTGGCGACAGAGGCATGTAGTCTAGACGTACCCTTTGGGAGGTGAATGGTTAACTGGTTAGCATCACCCTTAGTGGGTGATGCTTACCAGTTATGGTTAACTGGTGGGGGCTGGAGCAGCCCCCTGCCTAAAGTGGACAGGGGGGCCCACTCTAGCATAGCAGGGCCCATGGTAGGCCCAGCCTGATGCATCATGGGCAGAGGTGTTCTAGTTCAGCTGAAGCCAAGGCGGATCCAGCCTGGCCAGGACAACACAATGCAGGTTGCCAGGGGTGTTCCAGCCCATTCGGAGTAGCCCCTACCCATGGCAGGGGGCCCATTCCAGCCCACTCCCATTTAAGTGGTTATCCGATTAAACATAACGTTTAACATATTAACTGACACTATGGGATTTTACATCTATAGCCACTACTTCCTAATCTCAATAAATGGAACAAAAACTACTTGCTTCTGAGGTTCTCTTATGTGGTAACTGTAGGCAAACATCTGCTTTGTAATGATCACTTCAGAATTTCTCATTCTGGAGGAATAGTAAATACTGTAAAATAAAAATGAAGCTTATGCAATCTCTCTCTTTGTACCTGCTTGCACCCTTCTCAAAATATTCTGTCATAATAGGTTTGTAAGAGTGAGTGTGATTAGTGTTGATTGGTGGGGAGATGTCCATCAACTCTCCTAATCAACCAGTCACATTTTAAAATAAGGAAATGACTCTTCTGTCTTCATAGTTACAATTCCCAGTACTTTAGTTCAGCCCTTCGTATTCCTATCCTGTTAGTGTCTCAGGGATTGTTTTCATAGTAACATACTGCCAATTGCAGCATTTGTGTGACTTCTAAAGAATATAAAAACACTGCCAGGGTATCATTTTTCCATGATTGGAGAATTCTCACCCACTACCACAGAATTGTGCACTACAATCTGAGTTGGTTTTTTTCTGCCTTTTTTCCAATTATGTTTCCAATCCTTATAATTAAAAAAAGTAAACCTGAAAATGGGCACAAATCATAACTGATTCTATTTTTATCTTCCTGATACTGCAGATATGATAGCTATTAGGGCTGTAACCTGCCTATTCGTATCAGTGGAGTGTTAACACTGAAACATTAAGATGGTATTTAAATATCTAAATTAACTAGTTCACTGCTTTTACTTCATTATTTTGGCAGAAAAATCCAGTTTGTGTTTTAACCCACAATCCAAATTGTCTTCCTTACCAATCCAAGTTCTAAAAGCCCCAGATGATTCTCAGTAAGATACTAAAACCTCTGGCTTCCATCTTGACCTCTCCTACAATGTAAATTTGGTTTTCAAAACCAAAATCTGTGACATATTGAAAGCCATAAGTGTGCAAACAGTGTAACATAAGTTTACTGTCAAAATAAATACCAGACACTCGTTACTATTCATTTTCATGTTTAACTCACTTTAAATGGAGCTGCCATATTTCTTCCTCAATCTCCTACACCAGACTGATGTAGAATTGAAGTCTCTGCATAGAATTTAGTTCCAGCATGCTGTAGTGTATGCCAGGTCTTGTGAATATCGATTCACAACAGGGTAGCATGGTGACAAAAAAACTTAACAAGAATTCAGATTGTCCTGCGGAGTACTGAATCTCCTCTTTGGGGCAATAGACTTAGCTGGCTCAGGTAGATGAACTGTGTCTCTCATATCACCAGCTTTGGCCCTGTGATTTAAAATTTGTTGTAAATGGATAAAACCCTATGAGCAAACCACAAATATTTTGACACTTTAAAAAAGGGTTCAGAAGAAGGAAAAGTCTGCAAGTGTGCAGGAAGAAAGCATATACATAGTTAGCCTTGCTCTGTGGTTAGAGTTATCTTAGAGATTTAGAATACTACAGTGTTACAGGCTTATAAAGGGCCTAGATCAAAAGCCAAATTGGAGTCTTGCCACTGACACGTAGTTCTGCAACAACACAGCCATTAAACAGGCAGAAAATATTTACTCCTTTTTGCCTTTTAGAAAATAAATATGTTTGGCTGCAAAAATCATTTTAAACTAGTCCCAGAATTTTAAGTTTACAGACTGCAAATTCGCTCCTTGTTTCTTGATTTTCTTTAGAAAACTCTATTAGAAATAATAAATGAAATGATTTTATTTGACTATTAATAACTCTTTCAAAATAATTAATAACAATTTGTTATTCCCAATTAGATAGTGGCTTCATAAAGTCCTCTAATGTTGTAATTTAGATGGTGACTAAGGGGCAGCTGGGTTATATGTGTATTTGGCATCCAAAAATTGGTTCGCCTTGGCGCTCAGTGCATGTCTATGTCTTCCATCTGTTTTCAAGTGGTTGCTGACAGACACTCTCAGAAACATATCTAGGATAGCCTCAGGCATTCTGCTTCTCCTTTGTCCATGAAGCTATCGAGTGGTTGTGCTTAGTTTGTGCTTCCCAAAATTCTGCTTTCGCTTCATACTGTCTCAGCCTCTTGCCTGGTGACATTGAATCAGACACTTAGGCCATTCATCACAAACTAATCTCTAGAATTTCACTTCATAACATCTAATGTTACTCTAGTATTTGCACAAATAGCTAGCATTTTGATTTTCAGTGCAGATACCAGATACTTAGTCTGTATTAATTCAGTGATTGTTTGGAATCCTTATCTGAGAAACTGGTAGTGCTGCATGCTTAGCATTTCCTCCTGTCTTTTCTCCTTTTCTCCAAATATATATATTGCTTGCCTGCTCTTGAGACAGCCTGCTCTGGAGCTGAAGCTATGAAGCTAATTGAGTCTATGAACTATTAAACTAGTTGCCCAAAGGCTGACTCCCAGATCCTTTCTGCTGCACTATTTTCTTTCTTTGTCTACACTCAACCTTTCTTCATTTTGCTTTCATGATCAGTGACCATTTATCTTGGCCATCTGATTCCTTTGCCAGTTTCTTAGCACGATCTAGCATGATTTTGTCATTTTATTTCACCGCATTATTTCCTACTTCCTCTGAAGAGACAGTAGTAGAGTTTATATTTCATTTTCTTTTTTAAAAAAACAGCAACATACTCAACCCCCTTAAGTTCCACACATTGGTTTTTCCTGTTACTTTAATCCAACTCAGACCTTCTCATTACTTAAACTAAATAAAAATACATTTTAGAAGTGTTTATTTCTCATTTGTTTTGCTAATTCACTGTTTAACTTTCTTACATAGGTAAGAACAAGTT